CTTTAGCTAATGGGGCCTCCTGCTGCTGCCACGCCACCGGAGCACGATTTCTGTTCTCATCCTGAAGCAAAGTTCTTAACCTGAAGCACTTTTTCTGGGTTAGTGGAGTCTGTAACCTGAAGTGTATGTAACCTGAAGCATATGTAACCCGAGGTACCACTGTATTATGTTTGTATGCAGCATACATGGTTGTCCCTGCCTCTATAGTTTATCTTCACAACAACCCTGTGAGTTAGATGAAGCTGCCAGAGAGAGTTACAGACTCATACTCACACCCTGTGAGCATCACTGGCCAGTGGAAATCTGAACTGTGTCTCCCCAGTCCTAGTCCAACACACAAATCACTTCTTTGAGCTATTTTGTATACAGATGTCAGATGTGTTAAATGCTCAATGAAGCACACTGCAGTGAAATTTTAATATTCTACTTTATCACTCACACAAATCTGTCGTGAAAAATTTGGGGCAATTCATATGTTACCAACAACAGCGTACAAGCTGCTTCCATTCAGATCTCTGTGGCGCAATGGGTCAGTGTGTCTGGCTGTTAACCAGAAACTTGGTAACTTGAGCCCACCAAGGAATTGCTGTGGACCAGATGCAGAAGGTTGGACTAGATGACTCTCAGGGTCCCTTGCAACTCTACAATTCTATGATGATCTACGACGATGGCTTCTTCCCACACTAGTGATCCTGTTGGGAACATGGTTCCTTGCCATCTTAACTGTCAGACAGATGACTTCTGCTTTGAATGGCTTTACAAAAAGAACTGGACAAAATTCATGGAAGATGCAACTTTCATTGACAACTCTGATACCTAACTCTGAATCTCCATGTTGAGAAGCAGTGGCCTTCTTTTGAGTACCAAATGCAGGGGGTAAAATGGCAATCATCTTCCTTGAAGCATCTGACTGGTCAGTGTTAGAAACAGAATGCTCAACTACATGGACAGTCTGTTCCCTCAAGGCAGTTCTTTGCACTTAAACATCACAGTTTTCTCTACCTTCACATTATGATGGGAAAATATTCTGACATCATAGCCAGTTTACCTCATGTTTTCTCCCTTATTAAATACCAGTCCAAGTTTCCATTTGGCCCTTTGTTCTTCTCCAGTACTAGTGATTGTTTATCACCAAACAAACTTCCTTCGCAAATATATTAAAAGATACTTCCATGGTGAAGCAATACATTATTCCTTGTTCTATTGCCACACTTTGCCAGAATTCACCATCTCTACAAGCAACTGCAGCTGGCCTATATCCTCAGATATCAACTACGGTACCACCATATACTTTTCTTATGCCCTGTATTATTACCACAAGCATCTTACAACACAATGCCATTTGCAGCCTTGTGTGTCCCTCTGAACACAGGTCACCTGCAAACAGCCTCTTGTCCATCATTTCTCCAGAGAATCCATTACAGTCATACCTCTGGTTGCAAACGTGATCCATGCGGGAGGCGCGTCCATCATTTCTCCAGAGAATCCATTACAATCATACCTCTGGTTGCAAACGTGATCCATGCGGGAGGCGCGTTCGCAACCCACAGCGTTCGCAGCCTGAAGCGCCGCGTCTGCGCACGCGCGTGATGCAATTCGGCGCTTCTGCGCATGCGCCAAAACCTGGAAGTAACCCCTTCCGGTACTTCCAGGTTTGGCGCGGCCCACAACCCAAAAACGTGCAACCCAGAGTGTTTGTAACCTGAGGTATGACTGTATAACAATATTATGAGGTAGGTTAAAGGTAAAGGTAAAGGTACCCCTGCCCGTACGGGCCAGTCTTGACAGACTCTAGGGTTGTGCGCCCATCTCACTCAAGAGGCCGGGGGCCAGTGCTGTCTGGAGACACTTCCGGGTCACGTGGCCAGCGTGACATCGCTGCTCTGGCGAGCCAGAGCCGCACACGGAACACCGTTTACCTTCCCGCTAGTAAGCGGTCCCTATTTATCTACTTGCACCCGGGGGTGCTTTCGAACTGTTAGGTTGGCAGGCGCTGGGACCGAACAATGGGAGCGCACCCCGCCGCGGGGATTCGAACCGCCGACCTTTCGATCGGCAAGCCCTAGGCGCTGAGGCTTTTACCCACAGTGCCACCCGCGTCCCTTCATGAGGTAGGTTAGCCTGAGAAATAGCAACCTACCTACGGTCATCCAGTAAGCTTGGTAGCCAACTGGAAATTTGGACCCAGGTCTCTGCCATTCAAGTCTTTAGACACCATACTACAAGGGCTCTCAGACTGATATAGCAATGTTGCCATTAGGATTAGCAGTGAGGTGCATTGCAGGCCTCTAACTTCAATATTATTCCTTGCCTGGTTTTATCCTCCAGCAAACCCCAACGCAAGTCTGCAAATCAATTCACTGCAATTTCAATATAATGGGATTACCTGATGAAATAGGTCACTGCATGAAAGAACACAATATGCCTACTATTTTCCAAGGTACCATGACACTTTTCCCCCAGGGTTTTCCAGATCTTCAGGAAAAAGACTATGCCACTTCAGAATTCCAGATCCTCCCAAGACTATGCCACTTCAGAACTTAAGTGAGAGAATCACAAGAATGAACGTTTCCCTACGTCCAAAATAATGTCCTGCTTCTGGAAAACTAATGGTATGTCAGGGAGACATGACAGTCTGTCAATTTATCTAGTGCAGTCTTTTTCTTTTTTACTAGCTTTGTGTGGAGTTGGGGCTACAAACACACACACACACACAGAGAGAGAGAGAGAGAGAGAGAGAGAGAGAGAGTGCTGCAGTCCCAGAAGGCTACACTGGGCTTTTCTGTAAGCATAAATCGGGTCTTGAAGGCTTTCTTTTTGCTGGCTACTAAAAGCTGTGATATTATTTACATGGTAATAAATAACTTTTATTATTTGCATATTTATATTATTGTGTGCATATATAGCTACATACACCCAAGAAACTTAAAATTCAAGTTAATATCTAAATGTTACTATGCGTATGCAGCCACAGAAAGTATTAACTCATACCTGCTTTAACCACACTGTTGAAATGCAATCAGGATAATAACCGGTTTATATGCTTCCAGAGCATACTCAAGGAACAAGGGGAGATTATTCTGCATATTAGTGGGGAACAAAGGATTAGCGAGTAAGTGTTTATAAATAAAAAAGGTCTTTTCAGTACTAGAACCTAACACTATATATCACGCGAGCAACCTTTGTTCCCCAGTTGCCTTTACCTTCTCTTTCCATTCAATGTTTTCTTCCACTTACAAGCGTGGACCATTCCTTTCATTGTTCATTCCCCACGCCTAAGGGAAATTTGCACAGATCTTTTAAGTGCTTTTACTACAAAGAAGACCACCCTTCCTCCGTATCCTAGCCTTCCCACACCCCCACCTTCCCTCCTGCTCTCAGAACTAATGCCCAGGGAAAGCTGTCCCTCATTAGCAAACAACCGTGGCTTGTCTTCGCACTGAACATTAAGGAGGGACATTAAGATACGCTCCGCGCAGGACTGAGCCCCAAGAACCTCTTGGAAGTGCCACAACCTCCCTTGGTAGCATTCTCAGCAGTGTCAAAACATTCGAGTCTGAAAGTGTGTCCCTCCTGTATGTTGGATGCCAGTGAGCACACCTGCTCACTTTAACCTCCAGACCATAGCTGTCAAGCGTCCCTTATTTGGTGGGACAGTCCCTTATCCCAGCGCCATGTCCCGCTGCTGTCCCTTATTGATGATGTCCCTTAAATAAGCTACAGAAGATAATGGGGCCCTTTCTATGTCCAGCTGTCCTTTGTCAACAACAAATTGTTGCTGGTTTTTTTGTGTTGAATATATGCTATATGGTGATTTATGGACCTGATAGGTATCTAAAGCCATTTGCATGCAACAAAATATGTATTTTTATCAAATTGTTGATCCCTTATTTTGGCTGCTGGTCCCTTATTTTCGAGGCTGCTGGTCCCATATTTTCAAATCTGTAAGTTGACAGCTATGCTCTAGACCAGATTTGCACCATACCTCTCCAATTTCACTTTGCTTCCATGCCAGCCCCAACTACAGCAAGAATCTGGGTTCCACCTGTAGTTTCCTGCCACTGTCTTCCTGACTTTAGGCTACCATCAGCTGGGGCAGACACCACAACCCAACCTTATTTACTTTCTGCAGGTAGTATAATGATAATGAGGTCAGTAGACTCCAGGAGTCGGGACAGCACCGCTCCAGACAGGAAGCAAAAGCTTGCCAGAAACAAGAAAACCAGACCTGTACACACACAAAAACGTGTGTGGGAGAGGGGGGAAAACGAGCAGGTGAGGGAACAGGATTCAGCCTAATCTTTTCCCAGGTGTGCCATTTTTTTTATGCGCAGAGAATTTTGATTTTATTTCGGAGGCGGGGGAGAGATTCAACATACAGAAACACATACACACATATCCTGAAATACTTCATGCTATAAAAGGGTTTACTGCCCTTCCAAATTGCCGCTTCTTCCCTAAGAGGCGTGTTTAGAGATTGCAGATTACGTTGCATTATTGTGGTTTTGCAACAATGCAGCTGGATCCCTGGAATGTGTGTGTTTGTTTTAAAAAATTGTTTTCGCAAAGCTTGCATTTTCTTGCACGCACGTGGTCTCCCCAACTGCCTGGATGCTGGGGGCGGTGGGGGGGGTGAAAGACTTCTCTGGAGATACAGCCTACCTAAGATCCTCCATCGAGTCCGACTCTCCCGCACGCGCCTCGCCCCTGCTATACCGCGAGGGAGCTCGCGGGCGCAGCGCGCAGGCTCCGCTTCGCAGGCGCGGGGAATCCTGCTCGCCTCTCCAAATAGCTGCGCGCAAAGTGACCGAGGAAGCCGCCCGCCAGCAAACTTCATTCAAACCCAAATCCTGCCGTCCGTCTGTCCGTCCCGTCCCCCCCAGTCTCCCCGCTCTTCTCTCCATCTCCCGGCTATTTCGAGATCCAGACCAACTTTCGCCCTTTCCTAGTTTTATTTTAACGGGGAGGATTAAAGGGCTGGATCTGAAAAGTATCCAAACCATGTCAGGATTGCGCTCGCCTCTCGCCGCCTCTCCCTGCCCGCAAGCCATCGGGCTGAGCGTCTCCCGAAGAAGCTCCCGAGAAACTCGACGACTTTGCAGGAGGAGGAGGAGGAGGAGGAAGGCGGAGGCTCCTCTCGCGCGCTTTCCCTCGGGCGCCCCGACTGGGGTCTCTTCCCCCTCCGCACCCGCGCAGAGGACGGGGCGCACTCCGCCGACACGCGGGCGCGCAAAGCCTGCCTTTGATTTCCCGGAAAGGAGAATGATTTGGACTTTTTTGGGGGGGGTGTCCCCGCCGTCGAGAAAGGGGAGGGAGGAGACGACCCACACCTGGAACGGGCCGCGGGAATCGGAGTTACCTGGAGTAACAGAGACGGGGAGGGGGGTGGCCGGGGGGGGGAATCCCCCGCGCGCGTCTTCCTTCCCCGCCTGCTTTTGTTAGGAACCGAGCTTGCTCGAGGTCTCCTCCAAAGCTGGGGGGGGGAATCCAGGGGACCCCCCCCCAGACTTCCTCGCGTACATCCCGCTTTCCCTCGGAAGAGGACCCAGCTCCCCAACCTGGGCAGCCCCGCGCGCGGACACTGCGAGTCCGGCGTGGCTTTTACTCGCGAGTAGGCAAGCCCCGTGCCCGAGGGAGGCCCAACCTCATCGGGCCGAGGGGATGGGATGGGGGGGTGTTTCGACCCCCTCCTCGCCTCCCTCCCTCCCTCCCGCGACCCCCGTCCCCTTACCGTGGCAGAAGTGAGCATGGCATCCGCGGGGCCGTTTGCAGGGAAGCCGACATGAAGAGAGCGAGCTGGCTGCGCAGGATCCGGCCCTTGGAGAGGCGTGCTCGCTCGCCCGCCGGCAGCAGCAGCAGGGGCCCCCCCCGCAACTTGCACGGCTCCGAGCCGAGAGACGAGCTGCAACCTCTGCGCCCGCGAACCTGAATCTGCGCGGCTATAAGAAACCCGCTCCGCCAGATGGCTCGCCGCCTTAACCCCTTGGCTGCCGCGCACTCCTCCGGCGCCGGCCCCTTGCAAATCCGGGCCGGGAAACACCAGCAAGAAACTCTCGGGGCGAAGTTTTCTTTCTCAGGCTGCTTTTGGGGACGGAGGGAGGGAGGGAGGGGCAGCATTTGGATGCTCCTCTTGCGCTCCCGGGCATTAAAAGTAATTTCAAGCCCTCGACTGGCATGTTTTACAAGGATGGGAAGTGGAGTTGGCATGAGCCGGGGGGAAAACGTGCGGTGCGTTTCCTCGGAAGCAATCCCCACTGTGTCCCAGGAGACTTGCACCTAGGTAAGTGCGTGCAGGATGGCAGCCTAGAGGCCCATCTCCCGCGCGTGCAAGGCTACCCGGAACTGACTTGCACTGCAGCCTGGAATTATTAGCATGGCTTTCAAGCGTTGAGGCTGCAATCCTGAGCCCGTTTACCTGGCAGAAAGCCCTACCGAATTCTCAGTAGGCATGCTTAGATTTGCACTGTTAATTCTCAGAAGAGATGCCACTAACAGTCCTATACCACGTCTACTCAAAACGGTCCCATCAGATTAAATGGAGTTTGGGTCCATTTTAGTGGGTATAGGATTGCAGCCTTAACATCTCTATATTGACAGTGACTTACCTGCATCTACAAAAATGCACAGGGAGGCTGCAAATTGGTAGATTCTGTACATATCATATAAAGGCATTCAAAATATTGGGGGTGAGGGGTGAGAGGAATACTGGAAACTTTCTCACTCTCTTTTACAAATCAGATTTCAGCTTCTGGTGGCTTGCTTTTTCTCCTCTTTTGTTAATGCCTATAAGTCAAATGAATTCTACTGATACATATTTAACCAAAACTAGGCAAATGTTCAAGGTTTTACATGTAGGTGAACCCATTATGAAAATGGTGTGTGCAAAAGGAGTGAATTCCTCAGCATCAATAGCAAAGGCCACTTTGCACCTCATTTTTCCCTTGAATTTATCTCACTAGCTCACTAAGAATGGAGATGGTAATTTTAGCTTGCATGCCTCTTTAATTCTCCCTCTAAATTTATACATGCTTAAATCATCGGGTATGAGTGTGTGTGTGTGTGTGTGTGTGTGCGTGCTCTTTCCTCAGCCAGATTAAAATAGAACGTGAAGAGCAAGTTACAACCAACATCTTTGAGGTCACAGAGGACGATTTGTTCTGAGCAAACTTTCCCACCCAAATGTTGATGCTACAGAAAGTTTGTGCGCTTTGCATCCTTACAGAATAATGTGGATCAGCATACTTTCCTTCCTTCTTCCATGAAAAACTTTTATCCATTTCTTTACCATTTAGATTGTAGACTCCTCATGAGAGAGATCAGTCTTTTAGTCTTATCTCTACCCTTTCAAGTACACTGAGAGTGCTATGGCTATTGCAATAATATATCGTCTAAGCAAACTGTCGGTAGATCTTTTCTGTCTCCCCTTCCGTTTAATTTCCTTGCCTATACTTTTGCACTTTTCATAAGCAACAGGCTTAAAATAGTTTTGCTTAGGTGGTTGTTCACATCTGCACATGCGGGAGATTATGAGATGGTAAAATGGACTCCACCAGTTCAGATGGAGGACTTTTTATTATTATTATTATTGTTTCCCTATGCTACAAACACCATGGAAACAAACACCAGCACAGCAGGCAAACATCTGGGCTAAAAGCTTTATGCCAGTTTTCTATTGTCAGGGAAATTTTTTATATAGGGAACATTTGAAAATGCCACCCCAAATCTGTAGCATGACACCGTAGCTCATTCTACTGCTGAGCATTATATCAGTCCAGTCTGCTTCATGTGCAGCCCCAGCTTCTCAGCACCCCCCCCCTCATATGGATATCAAGCAGGTGAATGTTGGTTCATCCTTAAGGTTTTAGGATGCCCAGTGTCAGAAATGACTCTGTCACAAGAGTTATTTCTCATTTCTACAGCCCAAGGTGTGACAAATGTCCTTTGAAAATGAAGATCACACTCTGACAATCACCATCTTTGAGACTTTGCAAAACACACACTGACTATAATTCATATATCAATCAGAAATTGCACACACATATAATAAATCATGCATATATCTGGTATATATATATATATATATTCCCCTATTAATGAATTAATGTTTACGCTCCATATTTTTACACATTGTACCTGCCTCATCATCATCATCATTTTCACCGCTTGGGTTGACTTTCACGGAGGAGGAAATCTTCCTTCGCCGATGCTTCTTAAGTAAACTTATTCTTCTGTCGTTCTCTGCTTATCCTCCAGTCTGTACGGAAATTTATCCACTCAACACTTTGCATCTTCCATCCAGAATGTAGTCATGATAATAATAATATTAATAACAACTTTTTTAAAAAAATATGGTTCGCTTGGAGCAAAAATGTAATGCTCGCAAACAGCTCACTCCTGCAGAAAATGCTAGAATTAAAAGCAGCTCTTGTCCTGGGAAATATGGACAGCCAAAGGGATAGCCATTCGGCATGTGCTCACAGCCTGGGAAACTGTGGCCACCTGTGCAATCTCAGTCCAAGCATAAGGGAAGGCAGTAAAGAGAAGCCCCCAAATCAATGAGCCTGCAGAGAGGCTGGCTCCCAGCAACTTGCATTGTTCGCAACTGGAAAGGTTCCTGCCATTCTCCACTGGTGCCTGTGGCCTCCTGCGATCAACGCCTTGTAATTTGAGACGCAACACCTAATCTTGCCAAATATGCATCCCTGGGTGGGGGTGGGGGAGGCAGGGTCTCTCTTCACAACTCTGCAAAAGGGAGACAACCCGTGTTTCCTGTTTCCTCGGCTAGAAATGAAAAGAAATGGCTTACTGCTTGGGTTCCTCCCAAAAGTTCCTCTCACTAAGAATCTTTCATTTTATTTTGTTTTACAAACAGTTTTGAAAGCTGTGGGTCTACAGCATTTTGAGAGATTGCTTTGCAAGCTGCAGAAATACTTGAAGCAAGACCAACATTTTAATAAGATGGTAAAAAAATCAATTGCAAGAATGAGGGGGTGGGCGGGTGCCAGGACAGGGATCTAAAGATAGGAGCAGACCCCACTGTTTGGGTAACTAAGGACAGGCTGCTTGTTTAGTATGCTGCTGCTTCTTTGGCAATCACTCGTAGCCGAGTAAGATTGTCTTCCATAAACACGGTTTTAACAATGAGTCCGTAAGTGACTGTAGAGGCCAAATTCTGGACCCACACATCCTTCCACAGTGGGGACATTGGTTTCCGGGCGGGAGTTGATCACGGTGTGGATTTGCCAAGCGTGCCTTCCTCTTAGCACGTTTCTCCCTTGCGTTCTGAGTTCGAGTTTTCTTCAAAGTCCATGATGCCTCTGGTAAAGCCTGTTCTCCAACTGGAGCGCTCGCAGGCCAGTGCTTCCCAGTTGTCGGTGTTTATACTACATTTTTAAAGATTTGCCTCAAGGCAGTCTTCAAACCTCTTATGTTGACCACCAGCATTACGCTTTCCATTTTTAAGTTCAGAATATAGTAACTGCTTTGGAAGACGACGATCAGGCATCCGCACAACATGACCAGTCCAACAAAGTTGATGGTGAAGAATCATTGCTTCCACACATGGAGTCCCTAGGTGCACCTGTTTCAAATTCACCCATAAAATTGAATAGTTGTCGTTGACTTCTGGGGGGGGGGGAGTAAAGTGCTGCTCTTGGTGCTGCTGCAGTGAGGGTAATACTTGCCCACAACTCCTCATAATAGGTGAACTAGCCTCCAATGACTATGGAACTGATGTACAAAGCAGTGTTCATCTTTCCCCTTCTGAGGGCAGATAAGAGTTGGTGTATTTGGGGTATCAGTGCAGGTGGGGAGTTGCTTTAGGAAAACGACAAAAACTTGCCATCCCTCCATTCCTCTTGCCCTGAAATTTAGTGGGCTTTTGTTTGCATTTCAATTTTTTCCTGGATAGTGAATTGTAAGAAATATCTTCCACATCTTCTGTTATAGCTATTGATTTTGATACATTGTCATCTGATTCTGTATCCTATATATATATATATATATATATATATATATATATATATATATATATCCTATGGCTTCAGATGAGGACATACAGGAGAAATAGTATAAATATAAATCTTGAGGGCAGTTGCCAGAGATTCTCCCTGATATGGAACCAGCTGGAAATATAAACAGCATGGCTCCCGAATGACAGAGGATCAGATAGTGAGAATTTGAGGTTAGGAAAATGGACACC